CCCGGTTTGTTGAAGGTGGTTGTTTCCCAGAAAAAAAATATTTGGTAAGTGAAGATATAACGGTGACCACTACCCAAAGGGCCTAGAATTCCAAAGAAAGCTGAGTCCCAGAAATGAACAGAGAAAGGGCAAGCAGCCTCTCTTTTTGTTCTCTCAGTCCTTCCCACAAGGTCACCCTAATTGACAGGCCAAATAATTTTATTCTGATAAGACAGCAAATTAAATTTCATTTGGTTTGAAAAGGTATTCCAATATGTGTATGAGTTGGTCTAAATTCATTCTAAGAAATTTAACAGGGTACATGTTTCTTTTATTACTTCATGTTTTCTCAATAACAAATTCCTTGAGATAAAAATTAAAACCGCTGGAAAAATGAAAAGATGCCCATGGTAAATGGAGGAGGGGGCTTATATTTTTTAAAAGGATTTTGATAATTTGAAGAAACAAGCTGAGAGGCAAATATTTCTTTGAAGAACTCCATTTAATCATTTTCCTATCATGAATCACTTTAATGACTAGGGACACATTTTTTTTAACTCTATGAATTATACACCATAACAGTGACATAATGTTGCCACTAAAAACCTGATAATGAAAATTAGCACTTACCTCCAGAAAGTGAAAGCAAATCAACCAAATAGTTTACACAAAAGTCAAATTATACAGATATTCCTTTTTCCTCACCCCTTCATACCTGCAATGATGTATTCCACTTAATTCTATTTACTTACGAGAAAAAATTTTAAACTTTTGTTAGGATATAACTAATACACACTTGGTGAGCATGGACTCACACAAATGCTTGTATTAAAACATCTTCTTTGATGCAGAATAATCTTAAAATGTTTACAGTAATCATATTTCTGGTTGCAGTGTTACTCTTAATTCTAAGAGTGTTGTATGTATACTGTGGAATAAAGCACATGAGTATTTACATTGGTGTTTCTAGAACCTGTGATTGCCAGCAAAGCAGAAAGAAGACAAATGTAAGATAGATGAGGTAAAATAAAAACCTGATAGTCCTGAATTTGAATTGGAAGTTTCAATTTGAACTCATAATGATTTTATTTTTAAACAGTATACACAGCATATGTTGTTAATATACTAGTTCAGTCTAATGGAAAGACCAAGAAACAAAGACCAATCCAGTAGTTATGAGTACCCGTAGAGCCAAGATTATGCTCTCTTCAATACTATCAATAAAAGGACCAAAGTTCTTTGGGAAAAATGTCTGGATTTGGCGTGCATCAGGATATGTACAAGAAAAGCCTTAAACATCATATAATAATAGGAAACAAAAAAGAATTTGCAAGACTTTGTTTTACAAAACTACTAAAGACATGTCAAAAGGATGCAAAAGCCAATTTGAAGACATTCCCATAGCTCAAAATAGGACGATTTAAGCATAAGAACATAATTTTAATGAATTAAAGTATTTCAAATAGGTTTAAGTACCTAACTTGATATGTAAATACTGAAAACAATAAATTTACTGGTCATTTTTTGGAGGATGATGGTGTCAATGTCTTAAAACTAGAAAATTAAGAGAAAGAACTTGTACTATCTTCTATCTCACAGTAACAAAATGGTTGAGGACAGCAAGTTTATAATGTGTATCAGCTAATAAGTGAAAAAGAAATCATGAAATATCACCATTTTGCACCATAATTCTAATGAATTACTGGATCTAGACAATGATCATTAATGACTATTAACATAAAAAGAGAGAAAACAGTCTTCATTCTGATAGAAGTATCACCTAGGAATCTTCATTTAAAAAAAACTTTTTAAAAAAAATTAGACCCAAATCCAATAAATCCTCAATGTCAGTAAGTCCCCTACATAGAAACCTTCAAGTTGCAAACTTTCTAAGATGTGAACATGTGTTTGAATGTCCAATTAAATAAGTTATTCGTGTGTCTGGCATACATTGCCGTGTGTGTATCCTCTGCAAGTGGTTACACAGTACTGTAGAGAGTCCTGGTAGAGTATCTTTATTTCAGCCCAGGATGTCCAGAAGCAAGGGTGAGAGCAATGGTGATGTGGCTGGCACTGCTAAGAAATGCCAACTATTGTATGGTGCTACTGCACTTTTCAAGGTACTCTGAGATGAAAACCAGTTTCTTTATTTCTTGTGTTTGTTTTTTATGTATTATTACTGTGAAAAGTATTATAAACCTATTACAGTACAGTACTATATAACCAAAGGTGTTAGTTGGCTACCTAGGTTAACTTTGTTGGACTTAAACAAACAAAAATTAGACTTACAGATTCACTCTTGGGGTGGAACTCATTCATATGTAGGGGACTTACTGTACAGAGGCATCAAAGCAGAAGTAACACAAGGAGGCGCTCAGCAAAATATAGATCGTGGATGAATGACTAGATTTTTCTCAATAATAAAGTGAGAGTGAGAGAAAAGAAGCCTTAGATTAAGAGAAATATAGGGAACATATCAATTATTTATAATGTATAGACTAATGCTAATCCTTATTTGAACATGTACAGACCTTAATAATAATCCCGAGTCAAATAACTGTTAAAAATATTAATGAGATCATTGGAGAAATTTGAAAGCAGACTAAATATACATTGTTATTAAGAAAGTATACTGATTTTTATGTGGGGCAATGTCACAGTGTTTATTTTTAAGAGTCTATCTTTTAGAGATAAATGCTGAAATATTTATGAATGAAAATAATATGATGCCTGGCATTTGCTTCAAAACAAACCTTGGGAAAGGAGAAAGCAAATAGAGGTATAGATGGAACAAGACTGGCTATAAGTTAATAATATTCAATCTGAACTGTGGGTACACAGGAGTTCATTACAGGATTAGTCTAAGTGTGACATTTCCCTTCATAAAAAGTTAAAAAATGTCTCTGTTTGAAATGTGGAAATGAACATCAGGTCACTAAGGGAAATCTTTAACAATCAAATCAACACAGCTATATTTAGGACACAGATTAAAATCACAATGGAGATAGCAGCCCTTGAGACCATTTTGGTCAGCCTTTTGTCATTCAAATAGGTTTTACCGAACCTATCCATTCTGCTCATTTCTGTTATTCGGTTATCTTCTTTGGTCTGGTTGCAGTATTCAGTGAAACACTAGACAGGATTAGATTTGGGGGAGAAAACAGCTACAAAGTATCATAAAATCATTTTGGCTTGATTTTTATACTTCTGTTTTGGTAACTCTACGAAATGAATGATACCTGCAAAATTAACAACTGAGTTTTTCCCTACTATATAAACAGCTTTCCTCCTTACAGCCAGTAGGAAAATGAACCTCCCAAAGCTATTCTTTCGCAGCACTTGTTGCCCAGCCCACAGATCTGCAACAGTGCTGTCTCTGAAAGCTCACAGCAAAACCAACATGATACAAGCAAAACACATGGGGACAGACAGCATGCTGAGTTCTTCTCTGATACCCCTAAATTATTCAAGGGCCTATAGTTATGACTAGGTGATACCCCAAGGGCAAACTATTACTAATGAAAAACCAACTATACATAATTAACTGCATTGCTCTGGGCTAGTGAAAAAACAGAAATTTCCAAAGCCACTTGAGAATGATCATATTTATATAAAATGATGATACAGGTGACCATATTTCTTTGAAGCACATACCTCCTCCTTTTATCCCTACTGCCTGGCTCTTTGGACCACTTATGCTACACTGATTCAAATCTAAACACTGGGAATCTTCTCACTAACTCTAAAGTGTAAGGGGCCATATCAACGGCTATTTATCTTGCATTTCATTAGAAGCTATGTATTTTTGGTGCTCAGAAGTAGAAAACACTAAATTTGACCTACATTATCAACAGAAGAGTTAGTCCACATAAGATTTTTTAAATTATTACCAGCATTAAAACTCTATCCAGAGATGTTAGAAACTCCTTCTCAAACACATACCCCAATACAGTTAAAGGTTTAAATTTGATAATAATAAAGGATAAAAGATATACGTCTTGAGGAGATGTATACCCTTCCTTGTATATCAGAATGTTAATATTGGAATTATAGTCAATGCTCAATTTATCCATGACATTGCACAGTAAGCAATATTCAGTGGTAATTCAACTTTAGCAATCAGTTTCAATATTTTTCCTTCAGCAGGTCTTTACCAGCACTAGATATATGAACTAAAATAAAAGATAGACTGATTTACAACTCTGCTTCTCTCTCATATACTGGTTACCTTTCTAAAGAAGAAGAAAAAAAGTAAGTTATATGGGAGAAGAGGAGGAGGAAGAGGGAGTGGGGAGGAGGCAGGAAAAGTAAGGAACAGAAGAGTAAGACAAGCAGATCTCAGGAAAGGTGGTTTACAGAATGCTGCAGAAAACCAGATGTAATAAAAACATGCAAATTGGTTTTTAGCTAATTGAGTGAATGGTATATATATATCTCATTTCTCGTCAAGAACCCACTGTTAATGATTTTAAGTAACACTTAATTTCAACATGATATTCTGCTTAACATGTTAAATGCTAAGTTATGGTGATCACAAGTTCACAAGTGCAGGGCCTATTTGCAGGCAAGAAGCTCTGCAAACCTTATTACAGAATCAATAGCCTGTTCTGTTTTGCGGTCTCAGTAAATTTTTGCCACAATTTCCAAAGGAGTTTAGGTCCTAAAGTTCCTTAACACTTCTTTTTTGAGACAAAAATGTGTAGACTTCTTTCAGCTAATATCCAATTTACTCAATGGCAAATTGAACTAAATAAGAACAAACCTAAAGATATCTTGGGGAAGCAGTCAGTGTTTTTTTTTGGGGGGGGAGGGAAGGGGGGAGGGCCTTCGATCCAATCAAAATGAAGAGAGAGGCTGGTGCGGGTAGACCAAAGGAGGCCTCACTGCTGGCTCATCAAGTAATCATAATAGTCAAAAACATGTAACAACCGGTTTGAAAAATAACCGTTCATTTAATAGCTGGCAAAAGAACTCGGCAAAGACTTAGCATGAACGACAAGGCCACTTCTCAGAGGACTCACCTGTCTTTCCCAGTTTCCTTCTTAAACACTCCATCACAGTAACTCATGCGCTTCTCTGTGGTCACATAAATTTGGGCATTGGGATAGATGTCAACAGTCTTTTTCAACATGTTGTACACAATGCCACTGCCATCTTTCCTCATATTGCGGAAAGGGCCCCAAATAACATAAATAGTAGTGTTTGCTTCCTTGAAAAAATAATCAGGGTTTTTCAGCAAAAGAGGAACGCTGGTATGGGATACGACGCGAATCATTGTCATGCGGCCAACATCTTCTTCATAGCCCTTGGTGGGTGCATTGTTCATTCTCCAAATGCAGGATGATTGATCTATCTCGTTCCCCACCTTCTGGCCGACCATCTGACCTGAGTTTGACACAATGGCACAAAGATTACAGTCCAGTTGCAAAGGCTGAAAAACAGAAAGAGAAACAGGGCAGAGGTGGGGGAGAAATGTGTAAATTAGAAAGTTCCACATATCCCAACAAGTTCTTCTGGGAAAACAGAAATTCCAGATATTGTATATCATTGCTGAGTGTGGGAATATCTCTGAAATATATTTATACTAATCCAACACTAGCTCCACAGGATATCAAGCTTGGGGCATGCCTCCATTTAAAAACTGAATATGGACTGCTAAGAAATAATTTTCATTTCTCTTTCTTGTGTTGGTTTAAAATTCAATGAAAAAGCAGTCATTCGTTTCCCATTTTATATGATGCCTTTTCATTCAAAACTGTAATTTCAAATGAAATAAGGAAATACAGAAAGATTTGCTCTCTTTAATAAGGATGGTGGCTAAAAAAAGAAATGCAAAAGGAGTATATATGGGCATCAATTCTGAAGTTTACTTATATGTATGTAGTGATTGATAAAAATATAAAAAATTCAGCAAATGATGAGATTCTGAATTTTCAAAACCCAGAACTACTGAAGATAAATTTCAGGCTAGCAAAAATATTATAGAGACTTAAAAAATTCCCTTGCATCACCATGGTTAAATAACCATTGTGCTCTGGTTTATTCCAGTTGGACAGGAAAGGCTTCTTTTTAAGAACTCAGGGAAGGCAGGTACACAGACTGTCTCCACCATCCTTTTATTTATTTTTTTATTGGAGTTTAATTGCTTTACAATGCTGTGATAATTTCTGCTGTACAATGAAGTGAATCAGCTATACCTATACATATATCCCCTTTCTATTGGACTTCCCTCCCCCTATTCTCCCCACCATCCCACCCATCTAGGCCATCACAGAACATTGAGCTGGGTTTCCTGTGCTATGCCAGAGGTTCCCACTATTTATCTATTTTATACATGATAGCGTATATATGTCAATCCTAATCTTCCAATTTGTCTCACCCTCCCCTCCCCCTGACTCCACCTGGTATCCACATGTCCATTCTCTATGTCTGCATCTCTATTCCTGTCCTGCAAATAGGTTCATTTATACCATTTTTCTAGATTCCACATACTTTAACCAATGAGGTGACAGAGACTCAGAGACGAAGCATCAACTTTCAGGGCTGGCAGGTGATAAAGTTGAATTGGTAGATTCAAATCTAGATCCAACCCTAAACCCACTGCTCTCTCCCTTATTCTCTGCTTGTTTTTTTCCTTCCCAGGTGGTGCTAGTGGTGAAGAACGACCCTGCCAATGCAGGAGATAGAAGAAACGGTTTCAATCCCTGGGTCAGGAAAATCCCCTGGAGGAGGGGACGGCAACACACTCCATTCTTGCCTGGAGAATCCCATGGATTCTCAGAGGAGCCTGGCCAGCTATACAGTCCATGGGGTTGCCAAGAGTTGGACACGACTGAAGCGACTTAGCATACTGGCAAGCAAGCCAAATACAGTCGACACTCTATGGATGGAAAATACCACACCATCCGGGTTGCTTGGATCTGTGGATGCAGAACTGGAGCACATGGAAAGGCCATGGCATGGGAATTGAGCATCTGCAGGTTTTGGCATCCACTGCGGTCCTGGAATCAACCCCCCTCGGGTATGGAGGAATGACTGTAAATTCCTTTTACAATTCCCCCACACAGAAAGAAGAGTGAACTTTCAAACAGTGAGTGATAAGGGGACAATGCACTTTGCTGATACATGCCTTTCTTCTTTTCTTTCTGTGAGATTCTACGTTTATATCTGATATGTGATCCCAGATTTCTTGGTGCCTATTGGTCAGTGGTCCCTTCCACACTGTGTATTAGTTGTGTTACAATTTTATTATTTAATTATGTCTGTCCACTAGAAAGTAAACTCCATAAGAGTAGGCTCAATGTCTGTCTTCATTTAACCCCACTCCTCAGAAATCCCTGGAATACCATAGTATTTCAAATATACAGTGGTCAAATTAGTAAATGAAAGCAATTTAATGAAAAGAATTTATTAGGACCCTGAACATAGGAAAGAAGAGGACTTTTTCAATTCATCTAGAATTGCTGATTTAGTTTAAAAGAGAAAAGCAATCTGGAAGAAACACATCAGCATACCCACAGGTTCAATATAGGCGAGTGAATCTATTTATCTGACATGTCAAAATTAAGAATTTTTAAAAACCTTACTTACACAGCCCACAAAGGTCCATTTTGAAGTGCCTTAAATGTCTGCTATGAAAGGGACTGACTGTTCTTCGCTCCTGCTCCAGTAAGATTTCTAAACTAAGGTGGGCAGCAGGTGGTCCAGGCACCAGGTCAGAATAGCTCCTCTCAAGGAGGGTGAGTGTATTAGGGCACTTGGCAATGGGATTTTCTAGGTTGGTGCCATAGTGAAGACTTCACCAAAGGGCAAATGGAGGCACATGGGGATGCCTCATAGAATCAGGCATTGATTTAAGCCCCTTTCTCATGCATTTAAGCCCCTTCCCTACAACCTTTGGGAAGATTGTAAGGAAGAATACAATGTTCTTCCTGACATCTATTAGACTGAGCTGAGTCCTCCAAACTCAGTCACACAAATCAACGCCTTATTTAATTTGTTTGTCACATGACACATTCCAACTTATCACCAAAATGCATATCATATGGTGCCAGGAGGTTAGGTTCCATTTAGTGTTCCAAGAAGTTGCTTCCCTGTATACTAAAAACATTTTGGGGGTACCACCCCCACACATTAAAAAAAAAATAAAAAAAGAAAGATATAAAGGAAAAGCCTTGGAGGAGTTCTAATACCCAACATGCAGCAATTTGCATTGGATTTCCAAGTCATTAAAGTGTATTAGCTGGCTCTGCTGCAACAAGGCTTCATTTAACTAATAAGAATCAGCACACTGGTTTCACTTGACAATTGTAACCTCTGAGAGTGATCAATTAAGATATCACAGTCTGTTTCATGACAACATATCAGCTGTGCAGATATGAGGTCAGCAGCTGACTAATAACTTGAAGGCAAACATTGGGAACAATGGCCTCTTGTTTATATGCTGCTGCTAAGTCGCTTCAGTCTTGTCCAACTCTGTGCGACCCCATAGACAGCAGCCCACCAGGCTCCGCCATCCCTGGGATTCTCCAGGCAAGAACACTGGAGTGGGTTGCCATTTCCTTCTCCAATGCATGAAAGTGAAAAGTGAAAATGAAGTCTCTCGGTTGTGTCTGATTCTTAGTGACCCCATGGACTGCAGCCCACCAGGCTCCCCTGTCCATGGGGTTTTCCAGGCAAGAGTACTGGAGTAGGGTGCCATTGCCTTCTCCGCTTGTTTATATGACAAATACGTAATTGGGCAGGGTGCTATGAATATAATGCCTTTGGGGGTAGATGGTGATTTTTAAATTGCCCCTTTCTTTTATGCTATTCACTTGGCCATATTGTCACCAAGGCCAGAGTTGTAAGAGACTCCCTTATGTCATTCTGCTTGGTCTCAGACCTGCCTAGCTGCCTGGCTTCCTGAATGAGGTACCAGGAGTCATGGGTGCAGGGGTTTGCAGGATCCATCTTTACAGTATAATAGGAGTGCAGGACTAGATGAATGAAACACTCCTAATCATAATCAGAGGCTTCAGGTAACATGAAGAGCTTGTTAAAGCACAAGGGACTCATTTTTATGTTTGAAGGCACTTTCAAACTACAGTAAGCCGTGATAAAAAGAAAGACACACCTGGGTACCAATGGATGGTTTGACCCAAGGGCTGCTCTTATCTGGTTATCTCAGTTTCTTTTATTAGCTTTATCACTGCATCTTGTGATCTCAACTTTCTTTGTTAAAATGTCGTGCTGTTTCTTGAGCTCATTTATGTTATTTGATTTGGGGCTTTTGCTTGAAAATTTATTCCATGTGTGTCCACTCACTCAGTTCTGCCTCAGTAAGCAGTTTCTCTCTAGATACAGGCCCTGGATTTTCTGAGACCTCTGGAAAGATTTATCTGACTCCACTTTATCAAGCCCTATCATAATTTTGAACTCTCCTTTTCAGTTGACTTGTCCCTATTTTTTGTTTCTTTTCATTAAAAACAAATTTGACCTCTTTGTCTTTCCCTCTTGTACACTCAAAACATCATCAAGCCAAATGCTTTGCTTGAGCTTTGGCTGTGTCTATAAACTGAGATTACCACAAATATTCAGCAGACCATCTGGGCGCTGTGTTCCTAAGAGAAATCTCACACATGTCAAATGCTTCCTTTCATCTGAAGTCTAAGACACTGATTTTTTTTGGGGGGGTGGGAACATCATTATACAGGCATATCTTACTGTACTGCATTTCATTTTATTGAGCTTTATAGATACTGTGTTTATTTTTTTCTTTCTTTATCTTTTTTTTTTTTTTTTTTACAAATTGAAGGTTTGTAGCAACCCTGTTTTGTCAAATGATGGATAAGTATATTTTAGCCATAGAGTATTTTTTAAGTTAATGCATGTACTTTTTTAAGACATAGGCTATTGTACACCTAATAGACTATAGTATAGTGTAAGCATAACTTTTATATACCCTGGGAAACCATAAAATTCATGTGACTTTATTGCAATATTCACTTTATTGCAGTGGTCTGGAACTGAATGTGCAATGTTTCCAAGGTTTGCCTTATTTGATTTGGGTATTTTCTCCCTTTTCAAAATATACTACCTCTATACCTGCATATCTGGTAATAAATACTCAACTTGGGGAAGTTAATTCAGTGGTATCTAGTAAACAATTGTCAACTACAAATTGGCACTTACCAAGAGCATTGCCAACGACTGAACAACAAAGGCATTTGTCATCTGCCCTTACAGAGATTGAATCCCGTGCTGCTATAGCTGTTGACCTTCAACAATCCCTGAGGGAGTTCAGAGTCCAGTGAGGAGCTCTGTGCTCCAGGGGATCTGGTGGGACAGGTCCAACTATCTAAAGACCTGTCCCGCCAGATCCCCTGGAGCACAGAGCTCCTCACTGGACTCTGAACTCCCTCAGGGATTGTTGGAACAGATTTTATGATC